TAACTTAAAACCAACCCAACTCTTCCTTATTAATCTGCTGTTAGCCCCCGTGGTGGGGCACCCCACCGCCCCCGGAACCGAAACCCTTCCTTTTTATAGTTTCTTACCCAGGACCCGGGAAAGGGGGGCAGTTTTTTTGTTAGGGGGGCCCCCGCCCGAAGAGTGGAAAAGGGGCCCGAGGAAGGGTACCAAATTTTTTTATAAAAAGGAACCTGTTTTTTATTTTTAATAGGCGAATGTGGTAAAGTTTTTTTTTAAATTTAAAAAAATTATTTTTTTTATTAAAAAACCCCAAACCAATTTTTTGGTTTTTTTAATTAATTTTTAAAAAAAAATTTCTTTTTTAATTAATAAAACCCTAATCAAAATTAGGTTATAAAACCCCTTTGGCAATATCTTCTAACCCCCCTCTTTCCTTAAATTCTTTTTAAAACTAAAGTTATACCCCCCCCAAATTAAATTTATTTAAACTCTCTTTGCCAAAAAAAATTTTTAAACCAAAGCCTTTATAATTTTTCGTGTTTTTATTTTTTTTTTTATTAGTTATTTTAAGGTTTTAAAAATTAAATTTTGGTGGGTTTTGGGTGTGTTGTTGCTGGTTAAACCCCAGTTTTTCCCCCCTTGTTAGCAAAGGGGGAGGGGGGACTTTGGGGGTGTAGTTGCGTTAAAAACCCCCTTTTTCGCCTTTTTTTTTGTTGGGGAAACTTAGGCCCACAAACATCTTAAAAAACCCTTCTCTATCCCCGGTCTTGCACCCAAAACTCTTTTTTTCCCCGGTGCTTTTAAAAAAAAAAAACCTTCTAAGTTAATTTTTTTTTTTTTTTTTTATTTTTTTATTTTTAAAAAAAAACCCTTAAAAAGTTTTTTTTTTTTTTCGGTGTCCAAGGGTGTTGTGTAAGGTATTTTAAAGATTTTTTTATTTTTTTGTTTGGGAAAAAGGAAGGGGTATGAGGTAATAGGGAATATGTTTGTTTTTTTCTTTTTCAACCCCCACAGAGAACCCCCTCGTACGGGGTTTTCCTTCCCCCTTGGTTTTGGTTTTTTTGGGTGTTTTTCGGGGTGGGTCGTCCCTTGGTCTTTCTTTTTTAGGGGGGGGGAAGCCCCTCCCACAACAAGGAGGGAAAGCCCTGTTGGGTGGGAAGCCCCGGCCAAAAAAGAAGAAGCTTTAATTAGAAAAAAAATTAGGAGAAAAAGGTTTTGTTTTTTTTTTTTTTAAAAAAATTTTTTTATCTAAAAATTTCCTCTTAATTTTTTTTTTTTTTTTTTTTTTTTAAAATTTTTTTTAAAAAAAAAAAAAAATCTTTTTAGATTTTAAAAAAATTTTTTTTATTATTAAAATCCTTTTACTTTTTTTTTACGTTTTTTTCTTTCTTTTTTTCTTTTTTTTTTTCCCTCCCTTTTTCCCCCCCTCTCTCTCTTCCTTCCTTTTTTCTCCCCCCCCCCCCTTTCTTTCTCTTTTTCTTTTTTTTCCCCCCCACCCCACCTCTTTTCGTTCTCTTTCTGGGTTTGTCCTTCCAATGGGGTTTTTTTTGGCTTTTTTTTTAATTTTTTTTTTTTTTTTTTTTTTTTTAAAGTTTCTTTATTTTTTTTTTTTTTTTTTTTTTAATTATATTATTTTAAGTTAAGTTTTATTTTTTTTTGGTTCTTTTTAACTTTTTTGACTCCCCACCCTTTTTTCTCCCTTCTTCTTCTTTTTTTTTCCCCAATTTTTTTTTTTTTTTTTTTTTTTTTTTTACTATTTTTTTTTTTTTTGTTTTTTTTTTTTAATATTAAATGGTTTTTTTTTTATTTTTTTTTTATTAATTTTATAAAAAATTTTTTAATATTTTTTTTTTTTTAAATTTTTTTTTTTTTATATATAAAATTTTTTTTTTTATTTGATTTATATTTTTATTTTAATAATTAAATATTTTTCCCACCAACCTTCTTGTTGGCTTTTTTAAAAATTTTTTAAAATTGGTTATAGGTTTTTTTAAAAAATGTTTTTAATTTAATAAACCTTTTTTAAAAAAAAAAATTTTTAATTTTAGGTTTAAATTAAAATTAAAGGGCCGGAAGCGGGGGGGGTTTTTTTTTTTTAAGGGCCGGAAAGAAGGTTTTCTTCTGTTTTTTTTTGGGCCCGGGGTGCGGGGCTCCTTTGGGGGTCTCCCCCCCCCCCCAAAGGGTGTTTTTGTAACCCCCCAACCCCCCAAGGGTTAGTTCCTGGAAGGAGGAAGGAAGGGTTTTAGAAGGGGGGGGGGGGGGTGGAAGAAATTTTATTATTTTTTTTTTTTTTAAAAAATCATATTTTTTTTTTTTTTTTTAAAAAATTTTATTTTTTATTTTTGGAGGTATTTTTTTTTTTTTAAATTTTTTAATTTTTTTATTAAATTTTAAAAAAAATATTTTTTAAAAATAAATAAATAAATATATAAAATATAAATAAAAATAAAAAAAAAAATTAAAAAAAAAATTAAAATTTATATGTAATTTATAATATTATAATATTTTATATTTTTTTTATTATAAAATTTTTTTCAATGTTTTTAATTAAAAAAAGTATATTATTTTTTCTCCTTCCCACATTTAAAATAATATTACCCCCCCCCCCTTTTAAAAAATATGTTAGGGTTTTTTCTTTTGGTATAACTTTTCGTTTGGTTGGTGGGGTTTGCGGCCAACCCTCTCTTGGTTTTTTTCTATCCCTCCCCTCTGGTCCCCTTCCCCCCCCTTTTTCCCTCATCCTTTCTTCCCCCCTTCCTTTCGCAACCCTTTTTTCCCCTTTTTTAAAGGGGGGTGTTTTTTTTTTTATTTTTTTTTTTATATATTCTTTTTTATAATTATTAAAAAAACCCCTGAAAGTTTTTAAAAAAAAAATTTTTTAAAGTTTTTTTAAAAATTTTGTTTTTATTGAATTTTTAAGTTATGTTTTTTTAAAATTTTTAATATTTTTTTTTTTTTTTTTTTTTTTTTTTTTTTTTTTAAATTTTTTTTTTATTTTATTTTTTTTTTTTAATTTTTTTTTTTTTTTTTTTTTTTTTTTTTTTTTATTTTTATTTTTTTTTTTTTTGATTTTTTTTAAGTTTATTAATTTAAAAATATTATATAATTTAAAAATTATTTTTATTTAAATTTTATTTTTTTTATTTTTTATTTTTTATTTATTTTTAATAAAAATTAAAATTTTTTATTTTTTTTAAAAATAAATTAAATAATTAGTAATTTTAGGCTTTTTTTTTTTATTTTTTATTTTTTTTTATATCTTAAAAAAAAAAAACCCCCCCCCCCCCCCCCCCCGGTGGGCAACCCCCCCCCAAAAATTTTTTTTTTTACAACAAAAAAAAACCCCACCAGGAGATAAAAAAAAATTATATTTTTTAGGTTTGGCCTTAAGAAAAGGAAGGGACGGCCCGGCGCGCAACCCAAGCGCAACCAAAAATTTTTTTTTGTTTATATAAATGTTTGTTTGGTTCCCTCGGCCACTTCCCACTCTATATATTTTATATTTTTTTTATAAAAATTTTATTTATTCTAAACCTCCTTAATTAAAAAATTTTTTTTTTTTCCAAAACCCTAAAACTATTTATTTTTTTTCCTTTTTCCCTTCCCTATTAATTTGGGTTTTTTATAAATGTTGTAAAAGTTTTAAACCCTCTTTTTTTTTTTTTCCTCCTCCCCCCCCCCGTTGGGGGGTGGTTGTTTTTGTTTTTTTTTTTTTTTTTTTTTTTTTTTTTTTTTTTTTTTTTTTTTTTTTGTGTTTTTGTGTTTTGTTTTTTTTGGTGGGGGGGGGGGGGCCCCCCCCTGGGTGTGGGGGGGGGGCCCGCCGCCGCCGGGACCGGGGCAAATCCCTGTCCCGCTTTCCCCCTCCCCATTGTTCTTGTTCTTATTGGTATGGCCTTCGGCTGGCCCCGCCCCGAGGGAGATAAAAAGTTATTGTTTTTTTTTTTTTTTTTCTTTTTTCCCCCCCCCTGTTTTTTTTAACTTAGAATCTCAAAATAAAAAATTTTTTTTTTAACCCCTTTCCTGACTTAGCCGTTTGTTAAAAACCCCAAAAGAATTTAAAATTTATAATATTTTAAGGGTTAAGTGTTTTTTGTTTTTTGTGGTTATAAGGGTAAAGCGCCTAATGTTAAAAAGAAAGGAGGGGAGGTGAAGTTAGTTCTACTAGTCCACCTAGTTTTTATATTTTAATTTTTAATTGAATCTACCCACTATTCCCTCGTTTCCTGGAGGGGGGTTTTGTGCGAGGGGGCCCCCGTGGGTTTGGGCCCAGGGCCGTTAGGTTTTGTTTTTATATTCTCGTTTGGTTTACGTTCTAACAAAAACAACCCCAAACCATTGGTTTCGTTATGCTTATTTTTACTCAAAGGGCTTTGTTTAAGATAAAAAAAAATAAAAAATATAAATTAAATTGTGTATAGATAAAAGAAAGAAAAGGGGGCGGGGGGTATGTGCTAAAAGGGGTTTTGGGTGTGGGGGATAAGGAAAACGACCAAACTTGGGCAAAAAAAAAACAGGAAAAAAACCCCCCCCCCCCCCCCCCCAGAGCATTAATCACTCCATATAAATGCTGCAGTTCAGGAATTATCAACAGGTCAGACCCTTATGATGGAGAATTACTGACATTTGTGTTATTCAGTTTTCTTCTTGACAATATGAAAGTATTTGAGTGCATTTAGTATTTACATTTTTCAAAATAAATGAAAAACATGTTACTGTCTACATTTGGTACAAGGTACATACCAAACTGTGAATTTTGTGTATTGTTAGACCTCTACTTGATGCAATGATCAGAGTCACAAAAGAGACACAAAAGGCTTTATACAACTGTTTTCACATTTGCTATTTCTATTGTTTACAACTTCCAGAACACATGAATTGTACAGTTTTTATTCAACCAGGAGTGCTTTGTTACTTTGTTGCACCTGGACATTTTATTCAAACAAACTGTAATCATAATTTTTTTCTGGAATCAGACTGTCCAAAATGAAAGCAGCAAAAAGTGTGTGTGCACATGCATGCTCACCATAAACGTATTTATTGTCAAGCTTGTTGACTGCATCCCTGGACCACGGTAGCTCACCATCACAGCCATCTGGCATACCATTGTGACCAATGCCAACTATCTTATTCTCCTTGTTCACTATACATGCCCCCACCTGCAGAGAGGGAGAGGAGTTCCACATTTCTTTCAGCTGTAAATCTTTAAAAATATCAAACAATCCAGTACAATGGTACCAAACTTGTTTCCTTAAGGGACCCATTACATACATACTTAAAATGCTTCTTTTTTATGACAAATTCAGTGTTTTCTTAACATTGTTCCATTAGTTCTTTGGCTGTTGAGTACATACTGCAAAATAACAATTGAATTTTCTTTTCTTCACATAAATGAACAAAATGCAGAACAGCCTGGAGACTGCAGGGGTTAACCAACTAAACATTTACTCAGCTCCAAACTTATGGACACAATGTCAGATAACCAACAAATATTTCTACATCTGTCCCCAGTCTCAGACGACAGAAAAGCTGTGTGGTTAAAGTTTATGTTTGATTGCAACGTGTGTGCATTTTACTATAGACTGCTACGGAGCAATCACAGGCTAACAAGGGAGGTTCAAGCTCAGTGATGGATTGATAACATTACTTTTGATACATGATTTTTGTGGACATGCAGCACTTTATACTGCTTTAGCTTTATTGCGTAAATAGAACATCTTGGTTGTCTAAGCCCTACTAATAATATACCCATGCAAACACACACACACACACGCACACACGCACACACACCTGTGTGCTTGGGTCTTGCTCCTTTTGGCTGACAGACAGGCTAAAGCCATAAAATAGTCTGGGTCTCTCAGGTAGTCCTCTCTCCCCTCGGTTGTGCCACTACAGAGAAACACAGAAAAAGACAGAAAGAGGATGAAAAGTTTTGTGAGCCAAGAGAAAAAATAATTATTTGTTTAATATTTCCTTTGCTTTCATTTACTGAAATCACAGCTCATGTGTGAGCAGTAATCCCTTCTGTTTACACATCTATCCAGACTCTTTTTTCCACTTGTATTACCTGATCTACATACACAGTAAACTGGTAATCATTTGCAACAAGATTATTACCATAAACACCACAGAATACCACAGTCATCTTTTGAGAAGAACCCTAAAGTGCATAATCTTCAGTAAAAGAAATATGCTGATCTTTGGCGATGCAGTCGCGACGTTTTAAAGCTGTGCCTGGTGGAAGTAAGAGTTTGGGTCTGTGTTTTTGTCAGCTCAACCAAGAGCCATGTAGCCATGCTACTATTTTATCATACATGATTTTTGGAATTTCCCCATTGTGGGACAAATAAAGCAATATCTATCTATCGAATATCTATGAAGAAAACAGAGGCCGAAACTTCACTGTCGAGTTCAAGGGCAAAAAGAAAAACGGGAGCTCCGCAACAGGTATCCATTCAAAACAGGTACACAAGTTCAACAAACAACACACGTTGTTAGGTGTTGTCTGTTGTTCACATTCAGTACCATAGTTATCCCCACTGGGACAGACTGCCAAAACAATTATGACCCTGATCATTTACAGTCCTGGTTTGGGGTTTTGAAAATATGTTGATTCAGTTTGTGTTATGTTAAATGTGGACAAAAAGCTCAAACTACTGACCTGTTTGGACCAAGACTCTCTGGCTGATTTTCTGCCATAGTCTTCCAGATATTGGATTTCTTCTGTTGGAGCTGATCTCAGTGGCTGTATGAGCTTGATGTGAGAGTCAGCCTGTTTTTATTGGCAGAGCGCAAAGACTTCTGAAGTCAAATAGGGGTGGGTGGAGCCAATACATCAAACATCATGGTTCAATGTTTTATCCTCTTTATGTGTGGGCTGACCATCTGAACATCCTGCTGTGGACAGGTTTTACTTGTTTCCTTATTTATAGTCAGCACTGTGTCGTGCAGCATGACAGTCCAGAGCCACGTCTAGATAGACAGATAGATAGATAGATAGACTTTATTAATCCCCAAAGGGAAATTGGGTCGTCATAGCAGCAGGTACATTAAAATACAATAAAATACAACAATAGAATAAAATACTTGGATAGAAAAGATGAAAAAAACATAAATAGGTAGGTAAGGTGCAAAGAGTTGTAGTTGCAAGATGGTGGTAATAGTACTGATGACATGATGGTCGTGTTATTGTTAATAACAGTATATAATAATAACAGTGTATAATGATAATATTAATAATATTTATAAAAATAATATGTATATATAATATGATGACTGAATAGATATACATGTATACACATAGTCTCCAATCCTGACAAAAAGTTTGTCTGAGGTGAGCTGATTTCATTGCAAGCAAGTACTTTCATTCATGAGCTTTTATGAGGAGGGAAACCACATGACTTCTTCTGGGGAGTCTCAAAGTAAATGGTAAATGGACCTGTACTTGTATAGCGCCTTCCTAGTTTTCCAACCACTCAAAGTGCTTTAACACTACGTGACACATTCACCCATTCACACACACATTCTCTCAGTGATGGCAAAGCCCATCAAACAGAAACTAACTCATTCATACAATCGGATCGAACCAACAACCTTCCAAATAGTGGATGGCCCACTCTTCCTCTGAGCCACAGCTGCCTAAAAGTACATTCAACAAATGTGTAAAATGACATATAATCAATGTATATGTTATATATGCTGTATATGTTGTTGTTGTACGTAATGGACTACATTCTTAAATTGTTTAAAACTGTAAACTGATAATCCCTAGGTATAATGTTCGGACTTGGACCAGAATCCTTACAAAAGTACGCCACGTACCACCGCCAAATTGAAGAAGTGGCTGATATCGAGAAGACCTACCAATGGCTGGAAAAGGCTGGACTCAGAGACAGCACAGAGGCACTGATCATGGCAGCACAAGAACAGGCCCTAGGCACAAGAGCCATAGAGGCCAAGATCTACAAGAGTAGCTCTGACCCAAGGTACAGACGATGCAAAGATGCCCCTGAGACAGTCCAGCACATAGTAGCAGGGTGTAAGATGCTAGCCGGGTCAGCGTACATGGAGAGACACAACCAAGTGGCTGGAATAGTGTACAGGAACATCTGTACCCAGTATGGAATAGAAGTACCAAAATCCCGATGGGCCGCGCCACAGAAGGTGGCTGAGAACAGCAGGGCCAAGGTGCTGTGGGACTTCAGCTTCCAGACTGACAAACAGGTCCTGGCCAACCAACCAGACATAGTGGTGGTAGACAAGGAGCAGAAGAAAGTGGTGGTGATAGATGTGGCCATACCAGCAGATGCCATCTGAAAGAAAGAACACGAAAAGGTTGAAAGGTACCAAGGGTTGAAAGAACAGCTGAAGCAGATGTGGAAGGTCAAGACGAGCATGATCCCCGTGGTAGTAGGAGCACTCGGGGCAGTGACCCTCAAACTGGGGGAGTGGCTCCAACATATCCCAGGAACAACATCAGAAGCCTCAGTCCAGAAGAGCGCAGTCCTAGGAACAGCTAAGATACTGCGCAGAACCCTCAAACTCCCAGGCCTCTGGTAGAGGACCCGAGCTTAAAGATGACACAGATACCACCCCAAGAGGGTGAGAGGGAAGTTTATATATATATATATATATATATATATATATATATAGCAGACCACAGCAACCTCCCAGAACAAGAACCAGTAACCATCTCAATAGCAGACATCCAAGAAAGAGTGTCAAAGATAAAAAGCTGGACAGCACCAGGCCCCGATATGATGATGCCTACTGGCTGAAGAAGCTAACGGCACTCCATGAATGCCTAGCAGAACAGATGAACCAGCTGCTAAGGGATGGGTCTTTCTTCTTTCTCTTCTTCTTTCGGTCACGACCCATCTCTCATGACCACAGGTGAGGGTAGGAACAAAGATTGACCGGTAGATCGAGAGTTTCGCCTTTCGGCTCAACTCTCTTTTCGTGACAACAGTGCGATACAGGGACCGCAATACCACCCTGCTGCCCCGATTCTCCGGCCAATCTCCTGCTCCATTCTACCCTCACTGTGAACAAAACCCTGAGGTACTTGAACTCCCTTCACTTGGGGTAAGGACTCACTCCCTACCCGGAGTAGACAATCCACCGGTTTCCTGCTGAGAACCATGGCCTCCGATTTAGAGGTGCTGATCCTCATCCCAGCCGCTTGACACTCAGCTGTGAACCGATCCAGTGAGTGCTGAAGGTCACAGGCCGATGATGCCATCAGGACTACATAATCCGCAAAAAGCAACAATGCAATCCTCAGCCCACCGAACTGCAACTGCTCCTCCCCACGACTACGCCTGATATCCTGTCCATGAAAGTCACAAACAGGATTGGTGACAAAGCGCAGCCCTGGTGGAGGCCAACACCCACTGGCAACGAGTCCGACTTACGACCAAGAATCCGGACACAACTCTCGCTTTGGAAACACAGGGCTTGGATGGCCCTGAGAAGTGACCCCCTCACCCCATACTCCCGCAGCACTTCCCACAGGATATCCTGAGGAACCCGGTCATATGCCTTCTCCAAATCCACAAAGCACATGTAGACCGGATGGGCATACTCCCAGGCCCCTTCCAAGACACCTGAGAGAGTAAAGAGTTGGTCTGTTGTTCCACAACCAGGACGAAACCCGCACTGTTCTTCTTCAATCAGAGGTACGACAATCATCCGGACCCTCCTTTCCAGCACCTTAGAGTAAACTTTCCCAGGGAGGCTGAGTAGTGTGATGCCTCTGTAATTTGCATACACCCTCTGGTCCCCCTTTTTAAATAGGGGAACCACCACCCCAGTCCGCCACTCCTTCGGTGCTGTCCCTGACTTCCACGCAATGTTGAAAAGGCGTGTCAACCAAGACAGCCCCTCAACACCCATAGCCTTCAGCATTTCTGGACGAATCTCATCAGTCCCCGGGGCTTTGCCACTGTGGAGTTGTTTGACTACCTCAGTGACTTCCCGCAGGGAAATTGATGTGGATCCCCTATCACACTCCAGCTCTGCCTCTATCACAGAGGGCGGGTTTGTTGGTCTAGTCGGGTTCAGGAGTTCCCCAAAGTGTTCCTTCAACCGCCCAATTACCTCCTCAGTTGAGGTCAGCAGTGTCCCATCCCCACTCTACACAGCTTGAATGGTTTCCCGCTTCCCCCTCCTGAGGTGTCGGACGGTTTTCCAGAAGTGCCTGGGTGCCGTCTGAAAGTCCTTCTCCATGACTTCTACAAACCCCTCCCACACCCGCTGTTTTGCTTCCCCTCACAGCTGCAGCTGCAGTCCTTTGGGCCTGCCGGTACCCTGCAACTGCCTCAGGAGTCCCCCTGGGGATAACATATCCCAGAAGGCTTCCTTCTTCAGTTGGACGGTTTCCCGGACCACCGGTGTCCACCACCGTGTTCGAGGGTTACCGCCCCTTGAGGCACCCAAAACCTTAAGAACACAGCTCACAGCCGCAGCTTCAGCAATAGAAGCTTTGAACATCAACCACTCCGGTTCGATGTCCCCCCGCCTCCACAGGAATGTAGGAGAAGTTCCCCCGGAGGTGGGAGTTGAAAGTCTCTCGGACAGGGGCCTCCTCCAGACGTTCCTAGTTCACCCGTACTACACGTTTGGGTTTACCAGGTCTGTCCAGTGGCTTCCCCTGCCACCTGACCCAACTCACCACCAGATGGTGATGAGTTGATAGCTCCGCCCCTCTCTTTACCCGAGTGTCCAATACATGTGGCCTCAGGTCTGATGATACAATCACAAAATCGATCATAGACCTTTGGCCTAGGGTGCTCTGGTACCACGTACACTTATGAGCATCCCTATGTACGAACATGGTGTTCGTTATGGACAATCCATGACTAGCACAGAAGTCCAGCAACAAAACACCACTCTGGTTTAAATCAGGGAGGCCGTTCCTCCCAATCACGCCCCTCCAAGTATCTCCATCATTGCCCACATGTGCGTTGAAGTCTCCCAGGAGAACGACGGAGTCCCCTACTGGAGCCCTATACAGGACTTCATTCAGGGTCTCCAAGAAGGCAGGATATTCTGCACTGCTGTTTGGTGCATAAGCACAAACAGCGGTCATAGTTCCACCCCCCACAGATTGTAGGCGTAGGGAGGCGACCCCCTCTTCCGCCGGGGTGAACTCCAACGTAGAGGTGCTCAGCTGGGGGCTAGTTAGTATCCCCACACCAGCCCGGCACCTCACACCTTGGGCAACTCCAGAGAAGAATAAAGTCCAACCCCTATCCAGGAGTAAGGATCCAGAGTCTCGACTGTGCGTAGAAGTAAGCCCCACCAGGTCTAATCGATAGCGCTCCACCTCCCACACCAGTTCCGGCTGCTTCCCCCCAGCAAAGTGACATTCCACGTCCTCAAAGCCAGCTTTTGCTGCCCGGGTCTGGTCTGTCTAGGCCCCCCTTCCTTTACTGCCACCCATTTGGCATCGTACCAGACCCCAATGATTTCTCCCGTGAGTGGTGGGCCCCCAGAACTCAATGGGAATGTGGAAGACAAACCCTAGAGGCCGACTCAAAGCCAATTGCCCAGGTCAACATCAAATGCGGCATATACCAAGTAGATGTGCTATCACCACTGCTGTTCTGCATAGACCTGAACCCTCTCAGTCAGATCATTACAAAGAGTGGTTACGGGTACCAATTCCGAGGTGGAGCAACAATTAGCCACCTGCTCTACATGGATGACATCAAGCTGTTGGGACAATGTTAAAGAGTTCGGTCTAGACCTGCTCTATTTGAAAAGTGTCCTGAGATAACTTCTGTTATGAATTGGCGCTATACAAATAAAATTGAATTGAA